TGCAACAGGTATGCTATAACTAATTTGATTTATTATAAGTTTAACAATTAGCTAATGCTAAACATTTTAAAAAAAAAGCTTATAAGAAATGATTTTTCATCATACAGTAGTTGATGGACAAGCAGTTAAATAAAATTCTGAAATGGTTCGAAGTGGAACAAAAGTAAGAGTTTAAGCTTTCGTTATACAACAAGAAATGAAGCACGAAAGAAAAAGCAATAACAAAAAAAAAATAAAATTTTATAAAAACAAATTATAGTATGATTAATGTAATAAATAAATTTCTTCTTAATACTTTTATATATTAGCGTTAACATTAAAGTTATAAACTTGAAATTCTTTCAACATTTTATCGGGTTGCACTGATGTTAATAATTACAATCGAAGAGTCAATCATATTTTTGTGGGCATTCTCAAGCACCTCTCTCAATGATTTCGTGTATATTTAGGGCATTCTCAAGCACCACTCTCAATGACTTCGATAAAGAACAGTTTGATCAAATAGATCAATTATTGAGCCCATTGAGAGAGGTGCTTGAGAACGCCCTTATACAATGGGGCGTCATCAATCAAAACGTAGTGAGATTAAAAATTATTAATCTCACTATGCTACGTTTTGATTGACGACGCGATAATTATTTAATCTCCGATCTACCCATCCACATTGTCACGGGGTAAAAGTAACATTTCCGAAGATTAGAAGAAATGAAACCCTAAACAAATATTAGAAGGCTTGGATGACATATGGAGTTTGTCGGCCGAAGTTTATGGCAAAGGATGAGCACTATAAAATAAAGATGAACCTTGTTTAAGCTTCATTAGTCCTTTTTAAAGGACGTAACTTGGGTAGGGTTGGTTACAACACTTATGAGCAAGGTAGGGACACATATACATGGGTATCTAAATTATTTTTGAAAAATCGTATTTTCGGCAAATATGAAAATTAATTTCGGCACTATGTAAGATTATTTTCGGCCGTAATTACTTTTTTAATAAGATGGGCAATTTAGACACCCATTTATAAGGACACATAAGCTTCTAACCTGATAATAATTCCCTTTAATTATATGGTGATCAAATCACCAACGTCACGCCTCTACGAATTGTCTTATCGCATAAAGTCTATTTCTTGGTATATAAATTATTGATCGTACAGTACAAATACCCGGAACAACAGATAATATAACGTAAGTTCATCCTCTTTCATACTTCATCACCTATGGCTTCAAAGAAATATGTAGTGTTAATGTTGCATTTGCTCTGACAACCTAATTTTTTTAAGTGCTATATCTCACAGACACTAATCACCATGGTTCGCGAGGTCGTGTTACAGCACTCGACAACTTGACAATCCCAACGATTGCAATAGCAAAACGTAACAGCAAATACAACAATGCATCTGTAACAACAACAATTAACAACAAAGAAGTATTTCTGATATATAGATTCAATGCAGGTTTGAGTGTTATAGTGATTTTATAAATCGGAAAATTTATTTAATAATGGGTCCAATCAAATTATTTTCACTTCCTATCGTTAGAATTTTGTCAAAATTAGATTTGTTCCAGACTTGAATTGTTTCTTTAAATTGTCATTTAAAATATAACAGTCTGAATAATCGATATATTTTTTTCGTTATTTAGAATGATGGTACTCTCCCGCCAGGTTATCCCAAATTCATCTTCTGTCGGTATATTCATAACTTCACTCATCATCATTTTTTTAGTTTCAAGAATTATTTGTTGAGCTTTTACACACACACATATATATTATGCAAAGGCGCCCAAATCACTAATCTTACTCTTATTCTTAATCTGTCATACACATCGCAAGATATCTGTGATTCAAATTATATTAATTTACCATTTGCATACCCGATCTGGATTAAATCATATACTTTTTTGTAGTTTGTTATCTTTATGCATAAGGATTTTCTCTGTTATATTATTATATGCCTTTTTTTTTTTTAAAAAAAAAAGACTGTTTCGACGTTAATTGATAACAAAGAAGACTTCTTTTTCATTAGCTTTCGATGAAATTTCTATAAAATTCAATAAAATTGGAATATTTTACTGTTTTTTTTTTTTTTTCTTACCGGATTTTTATTGGATAGATTAATCGATAATCATGATCGTTAAAGACTACAATGAATGATCGTAGCGAGAGAATTTGACGATTATTTCAACAAGCCATAAATATAACCAAGAGACATATTCAATGAATACATTATTATTAAATATATATGTACAATATCCACAATAAAAATGCCTCGCCTTATATTAAATCGTAATTTTTATTATGAAATGAATGAAATGGATCCATAAAAAATCGGGTTACTTATACTATTTTAGAAACAAATTCTTAAAAAATCGTAGTTGTTTTCCTAACCAACTCGTTTCTAAATTATATCCATTGACTATGAGATATGACGAAAGTACCGCACGCATGTGGCATATATATTTTATTGTTATTTTCGTTGCACCTGGATAATGGTGCCGGATATAAAATTTTATTGACAAATTTTCAAAGAGACTATGCAGCATATATTAGTCAATTGATGTACAAACTGAGATGGGATATACTTATAAATACCCCGTGATCTTGATATAGTGATCGGGTATTTTTCCAGAAAAGAGCAACTAAACCTCATTTGAATTCGCGATGCGCAGCATCAGTCGGTAGTCTTTCACGCTGCATAAAGCGGGTCGATTTTAATATGAAGTTAAAGTTAGTGCAAAATGGTAGGATCTTAAATGGATGAAAGGAATTGGATATGAATTTCGTTCGTTCTTGCAATCGCTAAGGCGATGATCTGCCGCAACAGCTTCCGTTCTTCTTGTAATCGGATTCTGTTAACGATAAGTCATTATTAATAATTGTCGCGGCTGAAGCTGGAAGTTAGGGACCTTGATTTAAAAATATAAACACTACCAAAATCCATTTATACTCCTTTATTATTAAAACTACCCCTAAACCCTAACCTAACCCTAAAAAAAAACCCCCCTAACAAAAGGCCTCAAAATTTTATATTAAAAAAATTAAAATTTCCAGCTTCAGCCACGACAATAATTACCTCCTGGACCTAAATAAGCGACTAATTGTACTATACTATCGCTATACTCATCTGAATCATGTGCGCTATGCGTATTAAGGATATCTATATCTCTGATCTGGTCCGCAACAATCCGGTTTGTCTTGTCCTAGCTGGATTGCCGATTGATCTGCCGGCCTGCCACTTAGTAGTAAAAAAGAAAAAAAAATAATGAATTTTGAAATAAGGCCGATAACATATAAGTTTCGTTTAAAAAACATCTGAGTGAAGTGAGGCCGCCAGCCAATAAATAAAAAAATTTGTCAATGACATTTATGTTTCAAAAAAAAAAAAAAAGTATAATTACTTAGCAGAAACTTGAATTTTTGCTATTTATGATTATTATATGATTAATCTGTTAAGTTACTATTAACAATATTTGTATTATATTGTTAAGTGTTAAGATATTAGTAATATTATTTAATTATTTTAAACAGATTGCTATTATATTATTAAAATATTATTAAAATATTATATTATTAGATTGCGATTAGATTGCTATTAGATAATTACAAGATAATATTAGATTATACTTATATTATAATTATACAGTCGTCCTCCCATACAATCACACAGTTGGGCACATAGTAAATTTTTTTAAAAATGTGCTTTTAAAAGGGTTGTGCTTATATGGAGGTTTTTTTCTTATCAATTAAAGCATAGTTTGGTCTAAATAAAAATGTGATTACATATGATGTGATTGTTTGGGAGGTGACTATATGGAGGGCGACTGTATTAAGTTTATATAAAATTTTTTATTAATAAAAATTGGATTAAATTTACAGTTTCAAGAGTACGTATATGTTAAAATCTAAAACAAAAAAACATTTAAAATAAACTTAATAAATAATATTATCAATTGTCTGTTATTTATTGTTACCGTATGTTACTTTATCATACCAAGAAGAAAAAATTACATACGACGCATGAATTCAATATAAACAGCAGTCGGAGTCGATAATTTAAGAAATAATGCGTAACCTGATATATAGGTTACATTATAGATTACAAAGCATAAAAACCACTAATATTTTGCATGTGATTTGCCGATCGCCATAAACAAAAAAATTATTTTCGATCAAGATTGTAGATTTCAAAATTTTGCGAATCAGTAAATATTTGATGTTAAATTTATATTTTTGTTTCTTATGGTATTTGTCGCATCGTATGCAGGGCAAAAAAATACCTACTTATTTAAATTTTACCAATCGGACTTGTTGTATTGTGAATAAAAAATGGTACTTTTTTGAGTGGCCGCAAATAAGTAGGTATTTTTTGGCCTGATCGTATGTACGTACCTACCTAATCAAATCTTGGATTGCATAAAAAGCATAAAGATCTTGGGTGCCTTGCATAAATAACATAAAAATCTTGCATTGCTTTCATTTACAATGCATATGGAAACTCATAGAATATAATAAAAACTTATGATAATGAATAGAAGTGGATTATATTTGCCAGTGCTGCTGTGTACAAGATTAAAAAAAAAATTCATTCTTCGAACGCAAAATAAGGTAATACGATTCAATATTTCGTGATACAAACCATTATATATACATTAACCAAATAGAAAGTAGATTTAGATGATCATATGTGAAAAATTGTAAGAAATCATTTTCCAAATCATTCTCTAAATATTCACTTTAAGAACTAAATATAGTAAGTCTTATAATTAAAATTTAGAGTTTGAAGATTTTGGCGTTCTCAGGGTACACTCAAACAAAAGAGGGTCTTTGAGGCATTTCCAATTTTCTTTTTATTATTAAATATGTAACTTTATTTGAAAAACTTGTGGAATGAACGTGCCGCAAAAACAAATATCCCGTTTTAATCGTTATTACTGATACTGCTATATATACTATGGAATTCGCTTTTTACTTTAAGTCCAAACAAAAATTATTCAGTAAATATGAACTACGCAGAAAAATTCACTATAATAAAAATCTTAAAAGCAATTCGTAATGAGGTTTTTATCATGAGCTTCGTATCAATCGTTGACTTGCCAGCCACTGTAGTTCCTCCATTACTTATGACATCTGGTAATTTGACAGTGTTGTTGCTTTTGTTTAATGAACTTTAATCAATAATATTAATAATAGCCCTTTGTCATTATTAGGTGCATTTTACATGCATTTTTTTAGTTCGATTGTGCCATCAATTTATTATTTCTCGTTCTTCGAGATTATACTTCCACGCTTATTTCGAGTCGTTATATACTTCTTAGGTTTTCTCATCTCCTTCAATTGGTATGCATTTTACATTCATTGACATTATAATAAAAAGCTGTAATATAATTTTAATTATGATCTTATTTTACAGGATAAATCAATTTGATGGTGTGGAAGAAGACAAACTTAACAAACCTTTTCGTCCTGTTCCATCTGGCCTCGTCACAGTTGAAGGTGCACGACACCGTTTAATCGCATTTAACATAATATTTCCAACTGTATCTTATCTTATCGGTGGTCTGCCTTTATTTATCAGCGCTTTTCTTTGGCAAACATGGTTTGTTACTTTTAAACTTTTTGACCTTAGTGCCAATGCTCTCTGTAAGAATTTTTTTTCGGCTTTTGGTGCATGGATTATGTTTGTCGTTGCCAGTAATCTTATAATTGGCACTGAGTTTAATGTATCTAACTGGTGGGGCCGTGAACCATGCCCATCTAAACTTTCGGTTGTCATCTTTGTGTTGCTCACCCTTCAAATCCAGGATCTTCGGGATCAGAAAGGCGACGAGTTTATTGGTCGTAAAACATTACCCCTTCTTATCGGTGATAACATTTGTAGGTGGTTGACTGCTTTAGCATTGGTCCTGTCTGCATTTATCCTATATGGTTCTGTGAATTATTATTTGATATTGCCTGGTGTCAAAAATCTCAACAAGTCTGTTCCGTTAGAATTCACTATTATCGAAATTGTTCTTTTTGCTGTAGCAGCATGGGTTTGTGTTAGGTTGATTAAATATAGAGATCAAAAAGAGGATCGCTATACTTATGAGATATGGTATAGCGGGTTTTATGCTATTCTTTGCCTTTATTATGGAATGGCTATTGGCACATTTGCCAAGATATACTACTAACGAAAGTGTCCTCGTATGATCTATATGATACAGTACTATGAACTGCTATAGATCATTTGGTATTGATATGACTTCGCGATGACCGATATGACTATGGCCCAAAAGTCATATAATTATATAACCAAGGTCATATAGTTATAAATTAGGCCACCGGTCAACACTGCTAAAGAATACCTCCACATTGTTTTTGTATTTTTTTCTCTGAATTCATCGCTTTTTCATTCTGATAGAATGTTATGGGTAGGATGCTTTGGAATGTCTGCGCATCGCGCGGAAGGTTAGGTCGATTTATTAAACATTTTAATATTAGATACATCTATGTAAATTATTTCAATATTGGTTATAAAAAATATACAAAATCTATACATTTTCATAAAAACCTATAAATAAAAATTCTTGCGACCAATGCATTAACAATATAACGTACTGAAATAGTCGGCACTAAAATTTAAAAGATAAAAATAAATTCACTTACAGTAATTTTGAAAGCTAAGCCTTACCAAGAACGGTGTGGTAGTGGAAGGGAGTGATGCAAATCACGTTACTTGTGCCAGTAACATGATCCTACGTATTAATAAATTCGAAAGTTTTTAAACTTCTACCGATGATTTCTCGATCAAATTCGATAAAAACTTTTTTATTTTAATTCTATATTTCTATTAGAATTAAAAAAGTTCATTGAATCTAGTTCAGTATTTATTGAGAAATCATCAAAAAAAAAAAAAAACCAAGAGTTAGAAATACCAGGAACGTAATGTAATAAAGTGGATGATTTCATGAAGGATATACCGAAAGCAGAATCTTTAAAGTTGATTGGAGGGTATTGTAACCATGGATGAGATTTGGCTAACGTGAGGTCAAATTAGTTCAGGGTTAATTATACATAAAATTGCCGTGGTCTGAAACCAAGATCTGTGGTCTTGAACAAAGATCCATGGTCCCAAACCAAGATCTGTGGTTTCAAACCACGCAACTATAGTTGTTAGACGAAACCTAAACCCCAAAAGACGAAACTTCTGGCGAAGTCGAAACCTCAAATTTTTCTGACGAAAGACGAAACCTTAAACTTAAAAAGACGAAACCCGCTAAATATATATATATATATTGTTATTTTCATTAAATTTTCATAATTTACTAAGAGATCAGTATCCGAAATTACATGTGTGCCAGCAAAAATAACCCAGTTAATTTTTTCTAAAAACGCTAGGATTGTTATAGACCGGTTGAGATAAACTTGACAAAAAGACATCTTTACAGAGACCTATGTTTTTTGCTAAATATATTTACAATATATATATTTAGGAAATTGATATTTCCACACCCTTTTTTGATAATGCCACACCCATGTAGATTATAATTTTTTATACAATTGATCGAAGATATCTCGGCACCCACCTGACCAAATTCATCAACTTTTTTTTTATTTTAATTATAAAAAGCTGCAGAATTCAAAGAAAAAAAGGTTGATCGAATTTTGTCAGGCAGGTGCCGAGATATCTTCGATCAAAGTTTTTATAAAATTCTAAACGTCTATTAAATATAAGCTGCGGCAAAAAATTGTTTACAACCTTTGATCGAAGATATCTCGACACACACCTAACTAAATTCGATCGGCTTTTTTTTATTTTAATTATAGAAAGCCATAGAATTCAAAGAAAAAAAGTTGTTCGAATTTGTCAGTTGGATTCCGAGATATCTTTGATCAAAGTTTTGTAAAATTCTAAACGTCTATCAAATATAAACTGTGGTAAAAATTGTTTACAAACTTTGATCGAGGATATCTAGGCACCCACCTAATCAAATTCGATCAATTTTTTTTTATTTTAATTATAGAAAGCCAAAGAAAAAGTTGATCGAATTTTGTCAGGCAGGTGCTGAGATATCTTCGATCAAAGTTTTTATAAATTCTAAACGTCTATTAAATATAAGCTGCGGCAAAAGTTGTTTACAAACTTTGATCGAAGATATCTCGGCACCCACCTGACTAAATTAAATCAGCTTTTTTTTTTATTTTAATTATAGAAAGCCATAGAATTCAAAGAAAAAAAGTTGTTCGAATTTGGTCAGGTAGGTGCCAAGATATCTTCGATCAAAGTTTTGTAAAATTCTAAACATCTATCAAATATAAGCTGTGGTAAAAATTATTTACAAACTTTGATCAAGGATATATAGGCACTCACCTGATCAAATTCGATCAACTTTTTTTATTTTAATTATAGAAAGTCATAGAATTCAAAGAAAAAAGTTGATCAAATTTTGTCTGGTGGATGCCGAGATATCTTTGATAAATGTTTTTGTAAAATTCTACAATCAATTAACCATAGCTGTGGCAAAAATTGTTTATAAACTTTCATCAAAGATATCTTGGCACCCACCTGACCAAATTTGATCAACTTTTTTTTATTTTAATTTTAGAAAGCCCCGTAGAAGCCAAAAAAAAAAGTTAATCAATTTTGATCAGGTGGTTGTCAAGATAACTTTGATTAAATTAAAAAAAATTCAAAAAATTAAAATGATCTACATGGGTGTGGCATTATTAAAAGGGTGTGGAAATATCAATTACAATATTATTATTATATGATCTAAATAGTATATAATAAATATACTTTGAATATATATTAATCATATAATAATTATATTTTTGTTCTTTCTGTTAACTCTCTTATAACTTCATTACTAATAATATGTTGGTTATATAGATACAATATAATTTTATATATAAAATAATTAGTCATTAATACACGTAATAACAGAATAAAATAAAGAAATTCTAATATTTTAATAATATAATAGTTCTATAATAAATATATTTTTCACTCTCTCAGTATCAATAATTTACCTGGGTGATGAATAAATTATTTCTAATATGTTTATAATATGTTTATAATATTAATAAGTTTTTTACAAAAGAGTTAACAGAGCTTACTAAAACTTTTATTATATATTAGATATATAGGCTGCTGTTAATAGAAATAAGGCAGATTGATATTTTAAAAAAATTAATACCTTAACTTTCACAGTTTGTATCTCAATGAATTTTGAAGCTATCTTGATGATTTAATATTCAGAAGAAAGCTTAGATTATAGCTTTCTTTTGACTATTAAATAATTATAATGGGCTTAAAATTTACTGGGATACAAGCTGTGAAAGTTAAGATATTAATTTTTTTTAGAGAAGATTTAAGAAGAGTTAACCCAGTAATCATCACAATATCACATGACTATCATTCAACTAGGTTAGAGTTAGGTTAGGGTTAGTTTAGAGTTAGTTTAGGGTTAGTTTAGTGTCTATTTAATTTTGGTAAACAAATGATGTCATAATATATTTATCAAATGATTGTTGATCACTGGGTTAACTGTTCTTAAAGTGTCTCTTTTTTTAAAATGTCAATCTGCCTTATTTCTATTGACAACAGCCTATATGTTATTTATTTTATTTTAATTTTTTTCAGTATTAAGGTGACCCCTTTGGCTATGAGGATTTTTTATTAGTAATCATTTTGCTATTATAGTTCCAACAAAGATACAACTAGCTACATGTGCACCTTTTGGGTGCCTATTTAAGTAGTTTGCCTGCAGGTTCTACACTAGATATCATATCTATAACCCAACTAGAGAGTTGCCTATTTAAACCTTTTGGTCCTAACTATTCTCAAGCATATCTTACTAACCTGAGAACTATTATCTGGCCATTCTACTAGATTGTGTACCCTGCCTTAAGACTTCTATAATTTATCCTGGGTTTGCACTAACTAATTACTAGCTTGCATTCCTCTATTGAGTAAATGCATAGCTATTCTTAAAATAAACCTACCAGAGTTTTTTCTATCCTATTTGGGCTAACCTAGTTTTGCGCAATTACTGAGGCTCCTACTTGCAATTAGATTTTTTATCCATTTTTCTGCTTTTGCTCTTATAATGTTTACATCTCAATCCTAGTACCCACATTTAGACTTTTTCTTTTTCTGTTATTTCTTTATTAGTCTACTCCTTACTTTCAACCAATGACCCAGAAGATTCAACCTTGGCTTGGCATTAGGTGCCTAGTGTCCCTGTCTTGTCTTGGTACATGATTTCTCAGCATATGTCCTTTTCTTCTAATTTAGTTAGCTAGTCTTTTAGACATGTCTAGCATTTTTCTGTCTAACTAGTTTCTAGCCTAACTTTTATAACCCCTAGTCTTGGTAGGTAGAGTTCTACTACTGGTTTTCTATACTAACTGGCCAGAGTTAGTATACTCCATAACAGCCTTGCAGATTTTTAACTTTTTTTAAATTGCTTATCAGATTGATAAATCTCCTACTAAAGAATCTTATTATCATTCAGTTCTCCAATCTCGGTCCTAACTTCCAAATTCAGATTTTTCTGTAGCACCATCAAAAATTGTAGTTACTTCCTTACTTGGGTCTTCCCAAACAAGTTATAATCATTCTAGTTTCTTGGCATTTACATGCTGAGGCTTCTATTATAAGTAGTACAACCAAGATTACAGATTCTAGATCCAACTAATCAATAAATAATTGCTATTATAATGCAGACTTATTTTTTAAAAACATCATCTGTGAGATTTGAACTTTGGATCTGCTTCTTAGTAAGGTGATGACTAAACCACTTTACTAAGCTGCTACACCCATTATTTATATTTTAAAAATTAAAGTTTCTGTAAATATAGTATTTATAGAATAATACAAATACTCACATATATAAATAAATTTATAAATCACAAAGTAAGTACCAAGCGATTTCATACTAGAACTAATATGTAGTATACTAATATAATACAATATTTCTAATTCTTTTTAAACAATTCAAGTATCTATAATACAATAAAATTTTTGTAATTTTTATAAATTTCTGGTTTTGTTAGTTTATTTTTTATATATATAATCTTTAGTAACTTTTAGCAATATTTATTTGTTTATTTATCTTTTATTAGTTTTATTATATTTTACAATTTCATCACCTTTTGTCATTTTGTTATTTAAGGATAGGGTGTATGT